AGCACTGCTGGGAGTGACCCCTCAGCACTGTCCTAAGGCCCAGAACCAAAATTAAAATGAGGTGGGAGGAGACTCACCTCAGATCTGACCATCCTGGAGGCGCTGAAAGATAGGAATCAAGCAGACCTGGCAAGTCCCCAGCTAGGAATTTGGAGGTTTATTGAAAAATATTGCAGAGGGGCCAGAGTGATAGCACAGCGGGTAGGGCGCTTGCCTCGCCTGTGCCGACACAGCTTCAATCCCCAGCACCACACAGGTCCTCTGAGCCTGCACAGACTGATCCCTGAGTGCAGAGCCAGGAGTCCGCCCTGAGCACAGCTGAGCGTGGCCCCCAAACAAACGAGAGCTGCAGAAATTACAAGTTTCAAAGTGAGCAACATCACCCCAGTGGAACCGTTTTCAAAAGTGTTTGTGGCATCTCTGCTCTTCACAGCACCCCTGCTGGCAGCCAGGGTGCAGGGCATTGAGCCCTTTCCTCGGTGGGCGCTGGCATGAGAGGGGCAGGGGCCCCGGGTGTCTGGCAGACTAGAAGTTCCACAAGAAATGTCCACCGTGCAGAGCCAAGTGCCCAGGAGCCTCTGCGAAGTGGCTCTGTCCAGGAAAGCATTTCTGGACCTGGAAGAGAGGGGGTCCAGCCCGTCGTGGTTGGCAGTGCCAGACATTAATGGCACGCATGGGTTGGAGCCGAGCTGGCGTAAGCTACGGGCACCGGGGCGGGGGGCTCCTTTCCCTGCATCGTGCTGCCATGTGGTAGAAACCACGCCCCCCACACCGAACCCCTCGGGGTCCCCTTGAGTACCCAAGCAGAGGCCTGCCCTGTGACTGCACCTTCCCTGTGTGCTCAGGCCAGCACCTCCCATGACTGTCGGGCTAGAACTCTACCACCAGTTCGGCAGGCTTTATGCGAAATAAGCGTCGTCAGCGTGCTTGCTGGACTTCCAGGAGGGAGAGCAGCCCCTTCGCCCTGCTGAGAACCCCCACAGCACGCCCCGCGCTCACCCACCGTGTCCCCACCGCCCCGTCGTCTCTGCTCTGACGCTCTGCTTCGCTTCCTCAGACTCTTTATTCCTCGTTTCCCCTGATGTGATGATGCATCTTGGGTCATCCGCGCCTTCTCCCCTTCCCTTGGTTGTTACCGTTGATGATCCGGGTGGGCCCACGCCTGGCTGAGGTTTGTGCCCCTCTCGTGGCCAAGGTGCTTGTGGGGCCCCGGCCCTGCAGTGCCCACACAGTGCTCCCCATGGATGCCTTTCCCACCAGTGCTCGCACAGCTGGCTATGTGTAACACTCGTCTGGTGTCACGCCCCTTCTGTGGTGCACAGCAGAGCTGTGAGAAACCAAGGCAGGGCTGCGGAAATGCTCGGCGCGTGTGGGACCTCAGGGGCTTGAACTCATGACCACATGCCTACAAGGGAGGTATTCCCTCTCCTGGCCCTGCCCTTTTTTGGTAAGAACATTGGGGGTCACGTGTACGCACTCAAGCAGAAGCCAAGGGTTTATTTACGGCCCAAAGATAATTTGTTATTTGATGAATTCTAGGGCAACTTAATTTTACCGAAACCTTCTCTATTACCAGGCCAAAATTATGTGTTCTTCTATTTGCAAATGCATTGGTTGCAAAAATTATGAAGAAAGCCCAGAACGAAAAACCCTAATGAACATGACAAACTACATGGATGGTGGGGATTTGGAAGGTGGTCGTCACTTGTCACCAAACAGACCCTCAGCGCTGCCCCGGGGGAGCAAAGAGAGGTGAGTGCTCGGCTGTCACTGTCCAGGGAGGGCGGCAGAGGCGCACTGTGCTGGTGGCTGGGGGAGCCCCCCCACCCTCCTGAGCTCCTCACACATGGCTCCAGGGTCCCTCTAATCGGGAGGGTTTGTCCTGTTTGGACTCGCTTGTGCTGCTCCTGCCTGTGCGGCCTGTGGGGTGACACAGAGAGTGGGGAGAAGGTATGGCCACAGCGGGGAGCCTGCCGGGAAGTGGGGCACTGTGTCCCGCGCGGAGGAGCAGGCAGTCGGTGTGCGTCTCCTCCCCTCTCGCTGGTTTGGCCAGTCCTGCCATCACCTCTCACCGCTGAGCTGAGAACTGTTTTACCGGATTTTTACTCTGCCACCCTCCCCCCGAAAAGACTGGCTTTGGGGCTGGAGCAATCGTACAATGGGGAGGGCCTTCCATGTGGCTGATCCGGGTTCAATCCCCAGCATCCCATATGGTCCCCCGAGCACCACCAGGAGTGATTCCTGAGAGCAAAGCCAGGAGGAACCCCTGAGCATCGCTGGGTGTGACCCCCCCCCAAAAAAAGAGTGGCTTTGAGGTGTCTGTGTCGGCTCGTGTGAGGAGAAAGTGCCAGATGCTGCTCTCTGCCACTCTGTGAGGCTGGGCCCCTCCTCGCTGGGTCACTTGGGGGAGTGGCTGTCAGGATCCCGACGGGGGTCTTTATCAGGAGCCTCCTCTGCAAACAGGGTGGCCTGGCCCGGGCGCGTGGGGGGCAGGCAGCTCTGAGTCGCCTGCCCTCTCCTGAGGGTGGCCTGTCCATGTCAGCCTGTCCTCACAGACAGGCCCAATGGTCATCTCGGTTCCACATGTGCTGTGTACAGAGCCACTGCCGCTCCGGCCCGAGCACTGGGGCGGCTCTAGGGCAGCCAGGGGGCCGGTCTGAGGGGCTGGTGCCACCTACTCAGAACCGCATGCAGAACCGAGGGGCATTAGTTGCCCTGTCAGTGCTTCCGGGACGGAGAAGGCAAAACCTCGGGGCCCCTGGCTCCCTCCCGCACCAGTGCCCAGTGCTGGGCAACCTATCTGCTCTGCCCATGGCCTGTGTGCCCAGCCCCGTCCGCCCTCCCCTGCCCACCGCACCTCCAGGCTGGCCCTGTCACCCAAGCTCTTCTGGGTGGCCTGTGGGTGTGATTCTGACTCTGCCACGAGAGGGAGGCGGTGTGGCTGCACCATCTTCCCCGCCACGTTTGCCGTGGCAGCTCTGGGAAGGCGGCACTCGGGGCTCCCTGTTGGCTCTTCCGAGCATGCACCAGGCAGGCCCCGTGCCTCATCCCTGCGCTAACCCTGTGTCCCCCACAGGCGTGCCGCCTCCTGCATCTCGTGGGAGGTGGTGGAGGCCACGTGCGCCTGCCTGCTGGCCCAGGGCGAGGAGGCCGAGCGGGAGCGCTGCCCACAGGGCCTGGCAGAGCAGCGGGTGCTGGAGGAGTTCGGCAGGTGCCTCTCGCAGATCCTCCGCATTGGCTTCGAGGCCAAAGGCCTGAAAGTGGACTAGCGGCGCGCCGCAGGCGAGACGGGTCCACTGGCGCCTCGGTCCCGAGGGAGCACAGCGTTTAGCAGGGGCTCAGGAGCTCATGGCGCCAGCACGGCCCCCTGATATTTAGGGACAAGCCCAGCTGCACCCTGAGGTCCCTCAGGGTCTTCTGGGAGCCCCCAGCCTCGCGCAGGCCTCTCGGCGAGCCCAGAAGGGTGGCCCGGCTGGAGGCCCGGGGACGGCTCACTTCTCGGTGTGTTTCTGCATGTTTGTTTGCATCGCGGGAAAGCTCCGTTACCCAGTGAACCTCCCCCAAATTATTGTTACCATATTGTTTGTAAAATACAGTTCAAATAACTAGTTTTGCCGGCTCAGTGGGAAAGAGCAGTTACTTGTTGATTCTTTCTTTGGTCCTGTTGTAAAAACAAAGCGAAATAAAAAGCTCAAATGCTCCCATTGTGGCAGTTGACTCGGGGACCGGAAGGGGCTCAGCACTGAGTCCTTGGCCCAGACTCTCACCAGAACCTTCTGCTGCTGTGCTGGCCCAGACTGCTGGGAAAGTGCGTCTGAAAGCAGCCCCTGGGGGGAGGTGGGGGGGATGGCAGGTCGGGCCAGGAGCTGAGGAGGATGCTGGCCTGTGTGGTATTGTGCCGCGGTCGGTCTGGTGCCACCAGGGAACACACAGGGCAAAGAAATACAGCTGCTCCCCTTTGCACCCCAGGGCTCTCCCACAGGGAGATGAGCACCTGGCCAGGGGCTCCAACGGCGGTGCCCCGTGGCCCTGTGGCCTCAGAGCAGGAAGGGCTGCACCCTGGCTGGGGGCGGGGGGGCAGGAAGGGGGCTGGGGAGCGTGCAGGACACTGCGTGCTGGAGGGAGGGGAGTGCTGGACAGGGCGACCACCCCTTCTGCAGGGCTTTCACTTTTCCTGGTTGTCTGGGCCCCCAGGCTTCAGGTCTGCTCCTGCTGCTGTCGGAGACTGGCCGAGCTGTGGCTGTTGTGTGGCCTCACACAGCACTAACGGGCACTAATGCAGCCCTCTGCTCCCTGCCTTCAGGAGACAAGGCCTGGGGGCCCTTTCTGTCATGGCCCAGGAGCCAGGAGGGCCCCACCTGCTGGGGCTGTCCCCTGCAGGTCACTCGCCACCTCAGCTGCACACGAGCTGTCACAGGTGCCCCTGCTAGGGTCAGGCTGCCCCGCACCTCCGCCAGTGGTGAAGCTGCCGCCAGAGCAACCCAGAACTGTGGCCTCCACGCTTGGGCGCCCTCGGCTTCAGAGGAGCCTCCGGGGCCCCCACGGGAGGGAGGTGAAGTCTTCCTTGGGGGGGGGGGTGGTGTGAGCACCCCTGCACTCAGCCCGGCCCCCTTCCTCAGGGTCTCCACTCACTCGCACAGCCTGACATCACTGTTTCCCGAGCAACGCTGTCTGTCCCAGTCACAGACTTTCTGAGCCTGTCACACCCAGAAAAATGGCGGTTCCAGGGACAGATGACATGAAAAGCGCAGACGCTCTCGGCGGTGGCGTCTGCGCGACAGCACTGCTGTCCTGGCATGTTCTAAGAAGCCCGAAAAGGGTGGCCGGGCCCACACACGGGACAGAAGGACACTACGAACAGCTGCTGGGTTTTATTTGGCCTCGTCAGGTTGTGACGAAGGGAAAGATCTTTTGCACAACATAGCATCAAAGCTGAGGGGGGGGGAAGAGCTCGCCCTGCAGGGACCGGCTGAAGACCATTGCCGGTGTCCAGTCCAACCCCTGAGCGTCCTCAGGCCAGTGCCTTGTCATCGGGAACTGCCGAGGGGACATCGGGTGGGCTCCCCGGGATGCGGGCATCTGTGGGAAGATGGCAGGAGAAGGCTGCTGCTGTCACATCTTGCACCCCCCCTCCGGACTAGCCCCCAGTGGGCACGACTCCCAGGGCGCGTGCCCCTTTCCTGGCTGACCTCTCCCACTTGGCAGGTATTGGACATGGTCAGCCTCAATATATGCTTTTATTTTTCTTTTTTGGGTCACACCTGGCGATGCACAGGGGTTACTCCTGGCTCTGCACTCAGGAATTACCCCTGGCAGTGCTCAGGGGACCATATGGGATGCTGGGAATCGAACCCGGGTTGGCCGCGTGCAAGGCAAATGCCCTACCCGCTGTGCCATCGCTCCAGCCCCTCAGTGTACGCTTTAGAGAAGTGTGATCCCCTCCGAGGCATAGAGAGTGAGCATTTCTGATGAAATGACACCTAACCGGGAAAAGCAGCCCCCAGCCTCTCGGGGCCCTGGTCACTGGGGTGGTTCCTCTCCTCACCTCCGCCTGCTATGGGTGTCTCAGAGGGAAAACAGCCGCCTGAGCGCCCCACTCCTGAACCGCCAGGGCAACAATCCAAAGAGATCCAACCGGGGCTCCCTACGCTCACAGCTGCACCCAAAATGGTGTGAGATGTGGGAAGGAACGTGCCTCCCCACCCCCAGCCTTCCCAGGCACTTCTTCCCCGGGCCGTGACCTCAGGCCAGGTGCTCCTTGGGCCATAGGTCACACCCAGAATGCACAGAAGAGCCACCAGGCTTCCCTGATGTATCTGCAGAAGATACTAGAAGTCAGGATGGGTATCACAGAACAGCAGCCTGGCCCCAGAAGTCTGAAGAAAGGAGCGCACAGAAATACGGGGGGCCGGGCCGCCAGAGAGAGAGAGAGAGAGCGTGGCGGGGGGGCGCTTCCTTCCACATAGCTCATCTGGGTTCCATTCCCGGCACCACAGATGGTCCCCGGAACCCTCCCAGGAGTGATCCCTGAGCGCAGAGCCAGGAGTAAGCCCTCCCGGGTGTGACCCCAAAACCAAAACTAAACAGAAAACATGGGGTCCTTGGGGCTGGAGTGATAGCACAGCCGGGAGAGCGTTTGCCTTGTACGCTGCTGACCCAGGTTCGATCCCTGCCCTGCATCCCATAGGGTCCCCTGAGTCTTCCAGGAGTGACCCCCGAGCATCACTGGGTGTGTCCCTCCCCACAAGAGAAAAATAAAATATATGGGGTCCTCATCTGGGGGCGCTCACAGACATGGTTAATGTGGCCTAAGGTCCTGCCTGTACGGCCCAACAGTGGCGTGGCCGCCCATGCCCCTCCATGTGTGAGCTGCACTCGGGGGTGCCGTGGGCTCTGTGAAGGCCGCTGCCGGTCCAGCTGCAGCTGCAGAGGATGTGGACACAGTGCCCCGCAGTTTTGTGGCATCCCCCGCAGGCTCCGTAGGGGTCCAGGCCCCGAGTGGCGGGACTGTGTGGATGACGGTTCACGTACCTCTGAGGCGCAAGACGTCCAGCAGCTCGAGGACGGTGCGCACGACATCGCTCTCGGCCCGCGGCCTGTGGAGGCTCCCTGGAAAAACAGCCTGGGTGTCTCCCCAAAGCGGAGCCCCCACAGCACCCCAGCCCCAGGGGCCCCCTCTTGCCCCCCGCCTGCCCCCCGTGAGGCCTCGCCCTGCTCACCAGGCCTCCCGTCATCCTCCAGCTGCAGTTCCCGCTTGCCCGCGATGCTGCTCTGATCGGGGAACGACCTGTGGTTTTCGATGGCGTCTGGGTGCAAAGCAGAGAAAGGTCCCGAGTGAGCTGCCTGTCGGGCTGCAACCCCGACCCCCGAGCCAACCCGGGCAGTGTGGCGGGAGCGGAAGAAGGGGGGAATGATGGGGAGTCAGGAACTGGGGTGCTGGGGGAGGCGTGAAGTGAGGGTAAGAAGCGTGTGTGAGAGCTGTAAGTGTGTGAGGTGTGTGTGTGTGGTGGGTATATGCACAGTGGGTATGTGTGAGGTGTATATATGTGTTGGCTGTGTGTCTGAGGTGTGTGTAGTGGGTATGTGTGAGCTGTGTATGTGTGAGGAGTATGTATGAGGTATGTGTGTGCTGGGTGTGTGTGTGGTGTATGTGATGGGTATTGTGTGGTCTGCATCTGGGCTGTATCTCTGGGGTAGATATGTGGGGTATGGGGTATGTGGAATGTGTGTGTGTGTGTGTGTGTGTGTGTGTTGCATGTATGTCAGTGTTAAAATGCAGGAGTCATTTATGATTGCCAGCAGAGAGATCCCTTGAGAAACGTCTGGAAGGAAAGGGAGGGAGGGAGGGAGGGGTGCAGCACCAGGGCCTGGTTTGGGGCTTCTGAGGAGAGCCCTGAGATGGGGTAGGGGCGAGGCCCCCGCGTCTGGCTCCCAGAGGAGGCCTGAGAGCATCAGTGCCCCGACCCTCCCACCCGCAGGGCTGCCACGGCACTCCGGTGTGGCCGTTTCTGGCCATTTCCGGCAGCCGAGCCAGCAGGACACTGTAAAGTGGGAGGATTCTGTGGAGACTCTGCAAGCCCCGCATCCCGCGGTGCAGGCAGACGAGACCTGCTGATGTGTCCCTGCAGAGACGCTCCTGGAGCCAGCCTGTCCCAGGAACCACGGCTCTCTCCAGGGGAGGACTGTCACTAGCAGATCAGCTCAGGGGACACCTGAGTCCCGGGGGAGGTGGAAGCGCCCAGCGACCTCCCATGACTGCATGCCTGGCACGTGGGTATGTGTGTGCACGGAGGCAGCAAACGGGGAGGGGGAGGCCTGGGAAAGATCCTCTGGGCAGGTGGGGGGTCACCTGGAGGCGTGGCCTGTCTCTGGCCCCCCTCCGGGGCAGTGGGAGTCCCTGGGCTCTGTACCGGATGGAAGAAACTCCAGCATGTCCAGACAAGGGCAAGGGTGGGAGCTCCGGCCACGCCCTGCAGGACCAGCCCAGCGCGCTGCCTGGACTCCGAGACTGTCCTTCCTGGCCCAGGTGCCCTCAATGATGTCACTGTCCCCCCACCCCCAGCCCCGTCCCGCCTGAGGCCAACTGTTGGTCTGCTTCCAGAGGCTTGGGGAGGGCTGAGGGGCCCCTGCCCCCGGCTCAGTCATGCCAGCCAGACCCGCACATACCATTACGGGGCACTCCCGGCGCCCTGCAGGGGCGGCTACTGGTCTCTTTGCTGCTGCTCTGAGACTGTCACCGCCCAGGTACCCCCAGGCCCTGCCCCTGATGCAACCGCAGGGGGCCTGGCTGGTGTTCCCGGGGAGCGGGCACTGAGTGGGCACTGAATGGGCGCCGAACCCCCCTCCCTCTGCACGGATGCGCCTGCACAATGCAGAGGGCATTGGGGCAGGTGCAGGGGCCGCTGGTCACTTACTTGGACCCAGGAGGTAGCCGGCGCTGTTGAGGGTCCAGCCTCGCTTGGCCTTGCGCTGCTGGAGAGAGAGAGATCAGCAGGGCGACACTTGGAAGCCCCCAAACAGCTGCTGCGGGCACTCAGTGGGGCTTGGGGGACACTTGACCCGCTCCCCTGGAAGGAAGTGGGGTGCAGGGCAGAATTGTGTGGGCATTATGAGTGGCCCCCAAGTATGCGATTATTGCCCCCAAAACAGGCTTTTGGGGCTTGACCAGATCCTGCATTGAAGTCGGGGCACCCCGTCTCCCGAGTAGCTCCCTGCAGCGGGCAGCCGGGTCCCTGACTGCGCAGAGGGTTAAGCGCCCCCATCCACCCTCCCCATCCCTGGGGACCCACTTACCGGAGCCCTGAGCCCCCGGGTGGCGGGCAGGGCAGCGGCCAGCAGCAGGGCAGCGAGCAGCAGGGCGGCGGCCCTCGGCATCTGCAGGGAGCAGCGGGCGCACGTCGGACGGTGCGCGGCAGGGCTGAGGGTCCCGGGGCCGGGGGTGGGGCGGCCAGAGCAGAGGGTCCCTGGGGGCGGCTGGGGCAAGCGGGGCTCTGGGCGCGCTACCTTGGGGCAGGTCCCGGTGTCGCTGGGTCCAGGTGTTGGCGGTGGGTCCCGGTGTCGCTGGGTCCAGGTGGCGGCGGCGGTGTCACAGGGTCCTGGTGTCGCTGGGTCCGGGTGTCGGTGGGCCGGGCGGGGGGCGTCACCGCATGGCTCGGAGGCAGGAGGCGGAGGCAGGAGGCGGTCCGGATCCTCCGACGTGCCTGGAGCCACTGGCGCCCGCGGCTATTTATTGGGACGCGACAGCGCGTCACAGCTCGGACCCACCCCCGCGGGAGCGACGGTGACTCCAGCGTCAGGGCCGGCAAGACCTAGCGGCAGGCAAGCCCTGGGGAGAGCCCCCATCCTCCACCCTGGCGGAGACCCGGCTCGCTGGGGGAGCCCCACCCTGGGAGGAGACCCCCCCAAAAAATATCCCTTGGGCAGAACCACCGGCAAGGTGGTCCCCAGCTGTGGGGTGCAGCTGAAAGTGAGTCCCCCCTGCCAGCTTGTCTGGGACCTGGACCTCCAGCCTGGCCCCTGTCCTGTTTGCTAGGAAGCCCCTTCCTGGGGCCCTACTCAGGCTCACAGTTGAGGGGGGCTTGGCCAATAATGGATGGCCAAGGTCCCTCAAAATGTTTATCCTAGGAGCAGACCCCCAACCTTCCAGAACACAGCCTTGATGCCCACAGGGGGTGGGGGTTGCTGACCACACCGAGATGCCTTGGCTCCCCGACCTGAGAACACTCAGAAGTGTAACAGCAACGCCTCGGCCATCCCCACCCGGCCCCTGCCCTGCCTGAATGGTAAAGGGGGCGCCCTGAATCCAGGTCACATCACAAAGCTCCCCCGTTGCTCAGGGCTCCCAGGGGTGACTAGCTCGGACTCTCCTGCCCCCCTTGCTCTGTGTCGGGGGCTGGGGGAGCAGGAAAGAGGATGCTTTTTGGGTGGCACCACGCGGACAGGGTCCAGCGCTGCCCCCGGCGCAAGCTGTGCTGAGCCCCGGGGCCCTGTAATGGCTCTGCGCGCCCAGCAGCCACCGTGGGAGCATTGTCAAACTGTCACCGGGAAGGCGCCCAGTGTGAGGCGGACAAATGGGGCCCCATTAGAGTAATGGAAGCCAAGCAGGAAGCGTAATTGCGCGGGTCGTGAGCAGTCCCAGAAGCCTGTCCATCACCCCAGAAAAGCAGACTCTCAGCCTCAAAGCAACCCTCCGCTCCCCGTCATCACAGACCCCGGGCCGAGTCCTCCACGCACCGCAGGACGCAGACTGCCCCCGAGTCCAACACGCACCCAGGGACTGAGAATGCACCCCCAAGTCGTCCACGCACCCCAGGAGATGGGCTGTGGCCCCGGAGACAGCGGCAGATGTCATTACCTGCTCTAGATCACACCTGCAGTCGCTTACCAGGAATCACCAACAACAGTCCAAATACCCATTTTGTCACCACAATGAAGAGGTTCGTCGATTTAGGGTCCGACCTGACAGAGGAGCGGGACTGGCAGGTGAAACTGCCAGGGACTCCCAGCACGGTCCAAGTGGAGAAGGTCACATGAGAAGTTCCCTATTGGGTCCCTCCTTCCTGCAGCCTGGAATGGGGTGTGAGGGGTGGAGCTGGGCAACCACTTAGGAGCACGAAGTACGAACTGAAGAAAGAGGGGGATAGACACAGAAAGACTGCATTCATCTGGGGAACATAAAGTAACACAATGGGAGACTAACACCCAGGAGTGGCCAAGACTAGTACCAGGAATTTTGCTCCATGACTTGGAGGCCAGCCACACGTGCTAGGAGAAAGGCAGCTCAGATAGAGAAGGGAGCACCAAATAAAGGGTGTTGGGAGGATCCTTCCAGGATGGGAGATGCATGCTGAAAGTAGGCTATAGGCCAAACATGATTGCCACTCAATGCCTCTCTTGCAAACCACAGCACCCACAAGGAGAGAGAGAACAAGAGGGAATGCCCTGCTACAGAGGCAGGGTGGGATGGGGGGATGGGGGTGGGGGGTGGGAGGGATGCTGGGACCCGTGGTGGTGGAGGATGGGCGCTGGTGGAGGGATGGGTACTTGATCATTGTATAACTGAAACCCAAGGACAAAAATTTGTAAGTCTATAACTGTACCTCGTGGTGTTTCACAAATAAATAAATTAAAAAAAAAAAGTACAGACAGACTGAGAGCGAGACCAAGTGATCCCGAGCCCTTGGCTACTGACCTGCCTCGTCCCACAGGCAATATTCTTGTCAGTTTCCTATTATATATACTTGTGACTGCTTCAAAGTAAAACAATGGCACCCAATGATCGGCAAGTGTTTGATTCAAGAATTCCGGTCAGGGGTAGGGCTTTTGCCTTGCACGCAGCTGACCTGGGTTCCATCCCCGGCATCCCATATGGTCCCCCAACCACCGACAGGAGTAATTCCTGAATGCAGAGCCAGGAATAACCCCTGAGCATTGCTGGGTGTGACCCAAAAAGCAAAAAAAAAAAAAAATTCCAGTCAGAGCTGGTGCTAGCCACATGGGCTAATAAAATGGGGAGGCGGGGTTGGACCCTCAGCATGGGGTAAGGCTGTATGCAACCAAGCCTGTGGGACCCCCAACCCCGCCAGGAGTCACCTCTATGAGAAGCAGGGGTGACCGGCCTTTCTGCTTTCTTCTGGAATTTGGATTGGGGGTGCATTTAGTTTGGGGCTCAGTAGGGGCAGATTTCAGGTTCTTGGCGGGGCGAGGGGGAGTGGCTGCTGAGGGCATCCCGGCCAGTGCTGTAGCCCACAGAGTGGCCGCGGGGCTGGCCTCCCCCCAGGACAGGAAGTGGCTCGGCTGCGGTCCCAGGAAGACCAGCTGCAGCTTGGGAGGCCTGGACTCGCTTCACCAGCCAGACACCCACTGGCAGGCGCTTGGGTCCACTGGGACCTCACGCTGAGCCCGGCAGGCCCTCCTCAGAAGCAGATGGACACTTCCCAAGCGTGGGGAACCGTCGCTCCCTCAGGGGTCCTGTCCTGGCTGGTCCCTCCTGGGGGACTTTCCTCCTCCTCAATTCACCGCCACTCTCTCTCCAGCAGTGTCCTCTGCTGCGCCCCGCTCCATTTCCCACCCCAGCTGCTGCCTGAACCCACTGACGCCCTCACCCGTCCACCACGCGTCCGGTCAGTCTCTGACCAGCCGGTAGTAGCGGGTCCAGCGCACCACAGGCCCAACCTGTCGTAGGTCCCGCCCACCCTGTGCTCCGCCAATCACACCAGCACCTACCACTTGTCCCGCCCACCTTCTTCACGCCCATTTCCGGCCCCGCCCACCATCTCCCCTTGCTCCACCCACCACACCCACACCCACCGTATGTCCCGCCTGCCGTGGTCACGCATCACCACACACACCGCCAATCACACCAGCACCCACCATTTGTCCCGCCCACCGCAGCCCCGCCCACCCTGTGCTCCACCAATCACGACAGCACCCACCATCTGCCCCGCCCTTCTTCGCCCCGCCCACCACAGGCCCCGCCCACAGTACTCTTTTCCTCTCAGTCCTGTCCCCTTCCTTTCCTGTGGCTGGTGGCCCCTCCAGCCACCCCACGGGAGTCCATTGGTCCCAGAGCGGCCTCTGGGGCCTGATGGCCCTGGGTGACTCAGCCTGGAGGAGGGAGAACCCATGGGCTGCAGCCGTGACTCAGCCTCATGCCAAATGCTGAGCAGCTGTGCCGGCTCCTGGCCTGAGTCAGGCTCCGGGCGCTGTGAGCCCGGGGTTGGGGGGCTGGAGGTTGGGGTGGACGGGGTCAGGGGGAGGGGGGTGGAGGTGGGGGGGTCAGGGCGAGGGCTGTGGAAGTGGGGCCCCACACTCTGCTCCCACTTCTTCTTGCTCTCAGACTCTGCCCAAGCTCAGGCTCCCCAAGACTGTCCTGCCCTCTGCCCCACTCCGCAGCACCCCTGCCCGCGGCCCTTCTCCAGGGGCCTCCCGGGGGGCCTCCAGACTGACAGCAAGCATCTGGAACATAAACTCAGGCCGAGTCATCCTGGGGGTGTGGTACCCCTAACCAGTGTTTTGCCCTGAGTTCACTGCCAGCAGGCACCCCCGTGCCACTAGGCGGCCCTGGGGTCACAACGCGGCTTCCCGCTTCCTGCCACAGAGCTGATGCCACCCGCGAGGGGCTGGGAGAAAGCTCTGAGCATGTCGCAGAAGTGCCCACAGCTCCACGTTGCAGACAGACAGACAGACGGACAGAGGCCACAGGCTGTAACCGAGAGGAAGGCAGGTGGCCGCGCGGGCAGGAAGTGCTGGGCCGCGGAGCAGATTGTGACCGCGGGGCGGAATCCAATTCCCCGGCCCCTTATTGCATTTCCAGGGTCAGCCTGGCTTCCCGGAGGAAGGACACGGCCAATTACCACGGCCAGGCGTCCCCAGCCCGGCCGCGGCACCCGGAGGACAGGTGTTGGGGCGGGGACACCTCGCTCGCAGCAGGAAATGGCTCTCGAGGCCAGCTGGGAACCCCTGGCAGGCTGCTTGGGTCCCTGTGCTGGCCCCAACCCAGGTCCCATCTGGCCCTGCTGGCCCCCACTCTGGGCCGCCCCCGGACCCCCCAGGACAGTGTCCCCCGAAGTGGGCAGCCTGAGGCATCTGGCTCGCTCACGGCTTTGCGCCACAGGTGGACATGGGCACGTTTCTGCGTGTGCGGCCACCCCCGAGGGCTGGCCAGGATGTGGCGGGTGGACCAGCCGACGTCCACTTGTCCTCTGCCTGATGCTTGGACTTCCCCACAGGGCGGCTGCCGGGTCCCTGGGCGAGCAGTGCCTTCCTGCAGATGTCGGGGCCCGGGGGCTATGGGGGGCTGGGCCAGCTTCCCTGGGGGTCCCGGTCAGGTCGGCTCCAGATGTGGCTTATTCCTGGCCCCTGGGCAGGAGAGT